TATATATATATATATATATATATATATGGTGTTGTTACTTGTAAAACAGCACTTCGTTCAACTTTGTTGGAAAAGCTTATTGGGCTTGAATGGCTTAAAAAGTAGACGTGGGTTAGCTTTTTGTATACCGCTCTTATTAGTGTATGTGGTACAATAATTTTTAGATACAAAAATTGTCCAACTCAAATATAAAAATATAATTATAACTTGGTTTGTTGAATATAATATCAAATTAAGTTAAATTTAATTTAATTTGATTAAAAGTTGTTTGAATTGAATTAAATGATTTATTTTCCATTATTTTTTTAAAAGATTTACTAATGTTACTTAAAAATATATTAATATAATCGCATTTTATTTGGTTGACATGGTGATTAGACACTCTGTTCACATGTTGTGGATATTTATTTAGCAAGAACTTGACGTTTGATCTTTTCGTATATAAAAAAACTTTCAAATTAGCAAAGTCACAGTTTGTATAAGATTAGTTTCTAACTCAACAAGCTTAAAAATACTCATGGCAACAAGAAAAAAAATATTTTTTCAAATAGCACGTTTTTTTTATCTCTTTATCTCCCTGTTTAGGCTTTAATTAACTAAATAGTTACCGTATAGAATAATTAGTTTATTTCTATACGAAACATATGAGAAAAAAAAATTGAGTTCACTTATTTTAAATAGTATGGAGAGATTTTGTTGCTTTAGTTAAGGATGTTTATCAAATATCTTTCGCTTGGAAGATAATTCTTAACTGAGTTGCTAGTAAACACAATTTGTTTATTAGAAGTATTTTGGACAATTCATAGGTTGAGTGCCCTCGTTGCAAGGGGACCAAAAGACTGGATCACATATGTTTTTTGAGTGTCATGTATCTTATTAAGTTTGGATGAAATGTTTTAGCTGGTTAGGTGTTACCACAATTATGCATAATAATTGTGCAATGCACTTGGAATAATTTTATAGTCTTTCTTTTTGTAACTCACAGAAAATGGATTGCTGGATATCTATTTGGTTAGCCATCATATGAACAGTGTGGTTAGTTAGAAATGAATTGGTCTTTTCTTCCACTCAAATATCTGTATTGGAGATGGTAGATTTGGTTAAAATTAGGACCTGGAACTAGTTAAGAACAAGGCTTAAAGATTTTTAGGTATGACTTTGTTTCTTGGTTTATGAATCCAACAGCTTGCCTTACCTAGGTAACTGTTTTCAGGTGATAAATATGACTACTAGAGAAATCTGATTTTGGAGTTTTTGTTTCAAAGCTATGGATTGGATGTATTTATGACTATAGTTGGGTTTTGGTTTGTTATTTTCCCTTGTCAAGTTACATATCAGAAGGGCAATATAGTTTTTAGTTCAAGCTTCTGGTTTTTTTTATTCATGTATATATATTTGGATTTTGGTGTTGTTGTTGTCCTAACCTAGGCTTTTTACTTTCTTTTATCTAATTGGAAAGACTTGACAACTACGTCATTACATTCTAAAGGCTTAGGTTAGGCAGATATGAAATAGTTTACTTAAATGGTAATTTACAATTGTTTTATATTTCATATGTAGTAGATGACTCACGTACCTAGTTTGGAGGAGCATTTTTAGTGGTGCATAGTACATATATCACAGATGGTATTTTTGTAACGGGTTGGAGTACCCCTTATACTCCCTTTAATTCAATTATTTGGCTAATCAAAAGAAAGTTAAGGACGTTTATCACATCAAATTGATTTCTCACTCAAATCAAATCAATTAAATTGATTTAGATTGATTTAATTAATTTATTCTGTTAGCTTTAAATCTAAATTGGTTAATTTATCTTTTTTCGACATAAATTAATTCAATGATTCAATCAATTAATTTTAATTTTAGATTATATATGTCAAATTTTGGTATTTAAAATTTTCTCCTATTCTTGCCTTTTTTTCTCTTTAATCATTTTATTCTTCTTATGATTTTATATAGTGTTACTAAGTCTCTTAGTTTAGTCATATTTCTAAGAGATGGTTATTTAATTTTTATTAGACATAAAATAGAAAATGTACAATAATATTATAGTTTGGTTTAATTTAAAAATAAAATCTCGACACTGATTCAAAACATTTAATAAAAAAATAGTAAGTTTTTATTTATTGCAATGATTTAGTGATTTTATCAATACTTCAATTTTTAATCGATTTTGCAATTTAAAACAATTTAGCTTGGATTTGAACACTTGCTAATTTGGGAATGTGTAGTTTTGTACGTTAGTTTAGTGCGTGTAAAAGTGACAATATCGTATATGCTTTTCACTAATTTATGTCTATATATCTAAAGTTATTGTCATGTGTTAGTTATACATGCATGCATAGAAAATATTTCTTATACAAATACCTCTTCATCTTCTATTTTTAAATTAAGTACAAACTCTTCTTCTTTAACAAATATAAATATGTTGCTGTAAAAAAAAGTATAAATATATTATACTTATTATTATTATATAAAAATTAATTATTATTTTCAAACAAACATATTTTAAAACAATCAAATAAAATTATATATATATATATATAAGAAATAAAATCAAACACAAACATTTTTAATTAAAAGTAAATAGTATTTTTATAAATATTTAAATAAAATAATATTTTATTACATAGTTTTAATTATTATATTTATTAAATATAACATAAAAGTATTAAAATAGTATTTATTTAATGCTGTTAATATAGTATAATTATAAATGTTTAAACAAATTGATATTTTCTTATATAGTATTAATTATAATTTTTACTAAATAAAATAGGTAATTAATTTCACCAATATCATTTCATAGTATATTTATTAAACTAAATAAATGTAATGTTAATTTGTAAATTTAGTTATAATATGTGTGTGTGTTACTAAAAACACAGGAGAAAAAAAAACATTTTGGTAAGATGGACTCATCACTCATGAGAAACATAAGGGTTGGTAAGGTCAAGTTCCCAACCACCATATCATAAAAGACTTGATGACATTATCATCTCAAAATCAAAACTCGGTCTCAAATTAAATGAAGTTTAAGAATGAATGACTTTAGCAAAATTAATTTATGGAATATGTGGTTACTTTGAGGGACATCAATATCTGTTTTACATAAATATTAGTATGTAACTACTCTAATCTTAAATGCCATTTTTATTAACCTTGAAATTCGACGTCCTCAAGGTAGTAGGGTAGACAAGGGGTGCAGGTAGAATTAATGGGCTTTCAACTTTCCACGTAGTACCATCTTCAAGCCATTAATTGAAAAGATGCAAGTGGTGTCTAAAAGCTTTGATTGAACTTAGAGCATCTCCGATGGGGTTGCTTATAAGCAACTTTCTGTGCCACATCACTGTCAAATTAGTTCTGGTCTACTTTATGGATTGCTTAAATTTTAGCAGAGTTGTTTCAACCCATAAAGTAGATCAGAGCTGATATGGCAGTAATGTGGCATAGGAAATTGCTTATAAGCAACTTCCATTACAGATGCTCTAGTGTTTTAAATTCATCAGGGACTATGTTGAAAAAGTAGGTCATATTAGCTCTCACACTCATAACATCAAGAACTTTGTTCCCAACCAAATGTCTAGCTAATACTTTGCCTTCCTCATTATATTGAAATCACTACTTTGTCGATTTTTTTTCTTCATAAATGTATAAAAGACCCCAAAGCATGTACTTTTATTTAGGTAGGTTAAAGAAAAACAATCCAAATCAATTATTTGAGAATTTTCTTTAATACAAAACAAAAAAAATAAAAGAAAGTAAGGTTAAACAACTAGTCTCTTAAAAACGTAGTCCTCGATGTATTTGCTTAGATAAAAGATTTTAACCCAGCAGACATGTCTACTAGCACCACCAACTCCAACCCACAAAAAGAATTAAATTCAACTATTTTTATGAAGGTATAAAAATTCTCCTTTTTATTTTTTTAATGTTTATCATGGAAAAAAAGTAGTTCAACTCAATTCACCTAGTTCAATTTAATTCAAAATGGTGTTCGGTTGGAATTTGAAAAAATTGTTTGACAAATTAATGAAACAGTCCAATTCATTTTAATATAGACATCTTTTTTAATATAATTGAGTTCAATTCAACATTTTTGAATATATATATCCACGATACCACTATTTCTCTCCTCCAAAGAGATTAAATTAATTTTGGGGCGAGGGGAGGGAGGTTAAATTAGTCTTAATTTTGAATTATTTTGAAATTTTAAATAAATTTTCTTGGTTAAAAAATTTGTAATTAGATCTCCAAAATTTACGAATCATTTTTTATTTTGTTTCTAGGCTAACTTTCCATCATAGTTAGTGTATACAAAGTTTTTGGAAATACTTATTTGAAAATTCTCGAATAATTCAAGACTCGTTTATATTATGATTTATTATTTGGTAGGTGTTTAAGTTATTTAAAAATAAATGAATTTTTTATATTTAAACTCATTCAATTTTTGTTGTATGTGAAAATCTTTTTAATTAAAGATAGTCACAATGTCTCAAGCCAAATTATTCTATGGTCTAACAAGCTTGAGAATATCGTGGTAGAACAATTTAAAAAAAAAAAATGCTTAATCCAATCAAAATTCAGTTACAAGTTTAGAAACTCAATTACATGTTACTAAAATATAAGAATCTACTTTAAAAAAAATTTCAAATAATTCAGCAATCAACAAATTAATTTAACTGAATTCCTAAAAAAATTAATTTAGCTGTCAAAAAAAATGAATAAACGTGTGCTTGAAAATTGAAATTATGAACCAACAGATTCCAACATCGTGCTACTTTTAAAAATCATAATAAAAAGAAGGTTTAATATATTATTTGATATTAAATTTTTTAGAAAATGTCCGATTAGGTCTATGAAAAAAAAAAATTCAAATGCCATGCAAAAGATATTCAAGCTAATTTTTTTTAATAAAGAAAAATTTATATTAAAACAAGACAAAACTCTATATAAAGCCAGAATTAATTGCAAATCTTGAAAATTTTTAATGAAATTACAAATTATTTATCTCATTCACAATGTAAATCCACGTAAAAGAATATAAAATACGAAAAGTTAGGTTCAATCCCAAGCCTTAATTAGTAGGAACAAAAAACCTTAACCAATTGTGTCTCTCTCGTGGAATACTCATAAGTTAATTTGACTTATTAAAAAAAAAGTATTTCAATTTTCCTTATTTAATTTGTTTATAAATAAATTTATCTAATCCGGAGAAAATCAAGTTTTTTTTATGTATACTTAGATTCCTTTCTATGCAAACCCGAATCAATTCAATATCACACACAAACCTTAAAACTTGATAGGGCTCCCACTCCTAATGCTAAGGAAAAATAATAACCTCCATTACGTTCAAACCGATTGATTATAAAAGTTAATGAACATTTCTTAATAAATATCTAATATTTCTTCTAGTCCTTTATATAAAGTGCCTTTTTGCACATGAAAACTAAGGAACAAAGACTGGTGCATTATACAACTTGTGGTGGCCCAATAGGAAGATCCGCAATTCTGATCCTCTTTTAAGTTTTAGCTTTTAACGTTCAGCTAGTCATTGTGCAAATCTCTCTTGTACAAGATTTATTGCACTAATTTATATCTAATCTAACCCAACAGATAAAGTTGCCTCCTTCAAAATGTTTACTTAACCAAAATCAACTTTGGTTAACATATAATTTAAAGTGCATCACCCACTTAAAAGAAAGCCACTTTTTATTATAAAGTATCACTTTAGAGGATATTTTTCCAGCTTCCAAACCGCTTTATTGATTCTTTTAAAAGATACCTCAACCACATGAAACTAAAACTCAAGAAAGCAACGTTAAGAAGTACTAACATCCAATACCATCCCTGCCCATTTTATATTGCTAAGAATGTTGCAATCAAACAACAAATGAAAAACCATAAGGTAAAAAGAGACGACAACAACAACAACAACAATTTATGACAAACTTAAAACCAAGTTCATGACCTCTAGAGCACCACTTAGTTGACACAATATTTTAGGATGAAGGTGAATCTTTGGTAAGTTTTCCAAGAGCTGGTGACCTTGGACTAGGCGTTTGCGTTAGCTTGATCTCCTTCCCAGTTGGTCCGAGGCTGCTTTCCCCTCTCAATTCAGTAACTCGAGGGCTGGGAATCCTTCTTGCTAGATGAGGGCTATTAGCTGGTCTTATGTCTCCTGTTGAAGTTGGAGTTGAACTTGTTGTTTTGGGGCTTTGAGTGCGCCGAATCTCTCCACGACTCCTTGTGATGATTTCATCTAGAATCTCCCCACCACTCACATTGATTGTTGGTGCCTGGTTACTTGGACCCTGCCAGGTTTATACACATTAAACTGTCAACATGAGCTTTGCCAGATATAGGTGATGCAACACTTCTAAGGCATATTTGGTTAATATAGTACTTTTTCAATAAGCTCTAATCAAATGTATCCTGTATTGGATAAACTTCTCTATAATTACTTTAAGAAAAGAAAATAAGGACATGTTTATATAAAGTACTCCGAAAGCACTTCTAGAAGAAAAAAATAAAGAAAATTTGAAACAAGTTTTTTCATAAGTTAGAACTAGCTTATTATGAGTTAAAAATAAGATTTTGTAAAAGCTAACCAAAGAGGACTTCTATAAATTAACTTATGCATAAGTTAATTTCAACTTAGGGAGAAATAATTTTCATTTTTCCTTCCTATTTTTCTTTCCTAGAAGTTCATCTGCAGAAGTTTATTGAAATAGGCCCTAAGAATGTAAAATGAATTGAGCTTTTTTCATAAGCTAAAATTACTTTATATACTTAACTTTTATGGAAACTCTCTCATCCAACTCCTTCAGAAGCAAAAGTGTATTAGTTGATTATAGTTTATAGGTCAATTTGGATAAATTCTCCATAAGTACTTATATTATAGGAAAAGAAAATAGGAAGAAAAAATAAATTTAATTTCTTCACAAGCTGATTTCTCCAAAAACTTTATTTTTTTTTAACTTGCACATACGCTAATTATAATTTATGAAGAAACTAATTTCATTTTTTCTTCTTATTTTCTTTTACTATAAATTTTTTTGAAAAAGTTTATCCAAACATATTACATAAGAGAAACTTAATTAATTTTACTTTATTTTTTCTTTTTTGTAAGTGTTCGTGGAAAAGTTTTTCCAAACAGAACTTCGGTAATCAGCTTGACTTGTGAAGCTTACTAGAACGACCTTAATGAAATAAGTCAAAAAGACCATATGCCTCCTCATTTTCGTACTAATCTGATAATGTTTAAAGTCAAACTTATATGCTTCCAAGTTCAAACTACTTACTTCAAAGGACATGTTGAAAGCAATGGCAGGTGCTTCCTCATATGCTGCTGCGTCCAACTCTTGAAGATGCGCACCTTTAAAGAACCTTGGAAGAAAATATTGCCGTACTGGAACAAGAAGCATGATTAACAATGGGAAAAGAACCCCGGCAATTGGTATCCATGTTATGCCAAAGCAGAGAAGCAAGTATACTGTCTGGAACACGGTAAACATGGCAACTGTTTTGAAGGGCACGGTCTCAACAAAGGTGGCATGGTATTCCTCCAGCAGTCTAGAAAAGTTGGAAAGCAAAAAGGGTCATCACACCTTCAACCTCTTCAAATGGAATACCAATACAAGTGCATGCAAACACACAAGCATATGTTACAAGTACTACTAACATGAATGTATAAGTAGGTGTCTATGCACATGCACAATTGAAATCAATAACCAACTTGGCATCCACAAATTTTGACTAAGAAACAAATAACTAAACAAATAGTGGAAAAGACAAATGATGAATGCTGTTTGTGCACTAGAATTAGGAAGCAGACAAAGGAAGGAATTTTTGGACGAACAAAACTTAGAAACAGTAGCGTAACTTCATAAGTTCTGTTGATATTATTTTTTAACTAGAACTGGAGTAAGACTTATCCTCTTTAGACATCCTAGAACTATAACAAAATTGACATACTTGTATCTTCGACTAGGAGCAGTGAACAGATACAATATTCTCTCCCAAAACTGATTTCCTGGCAAGCTTTCAATTGCCATGAAGGCAAAGTAACCCCAAAGCACTGAAGTTGGTATCTTCTTCAAAAGGGGCATAGCAGCAACACAAGCCGCAACCATCAATGCCTGCAGCAGATTGCTGAGACGCTGCTCTTTAACTTCAACTGGCAAAAGGTCATCAACATCCTTATTCACATCAAAGACAACCTCATCAACAGGGGCATCAATATATCCTTGACTGGAAGCCAGTTCAATGGTAGATTCCTTCAGTTCTTTCAGCCCCTGCTTGATGAATAAACCAAGGATAAGGAGAAAGAAGATCGCAAATTTCAAATCAATTGGAAATCATGGGAGCATATTTATATTTACCAAGGTTGGTGGCATTTGGGGAACCAATGGAGTCTGCATTTCATCATATGCTTCTTTCATATTTTGGTATAACTGGCTCAAGTTAACATTTCTCCGCATGCTTTTTCGTGCAGTAGATACAAGCTTATTCCGTAAAAGCTATCCCATACAAAACAAATGTATATGATACTCAATTAGCTTAGCTATATATAGACAAGACTAAACAAAATAGATGATAACAATTTGTCTATAGATAGCAAAAAGTCATATTTGAGAATTTTATAAAATGATAAGAAAATAAGAGAGTATATGTAACCTTACATTACAACCATTTCTTATTTTTGTATAAATTTTATTACTCTCTTAATTTGAAAATGAAAATTTACCACTCTCCTTTGTTCACCTCCAAACACTTCCATCCAAACATAATTGTCCACTAGTGACATGCATAATCAGATAAGGTAAAGATACAAAAAGAATATTTATGATAGATATAATCATACAACAACAGATCTGAATGCAGTCAAAGCAGAACAATAACTATAAGATGGTTAGATTCTGAGAAATTTGAAAAACAAACAATTGCCTTTCCAACTAAACAAAACAAAAACAAAGATTCATGATTAGCAGTTTATATATATTTTATTTAAAGGTAGGTAAAAATTATATTACCTGATGTTTTAGAGTAGCTAAGCTCTTTGTATGCATCGGAGATTGTGGGATCACACCATTGGAAGGAGGGATTCCAATAAGCCCACACAATATGGTCTGGCCAACAATTAATAAAAATTTAAAAGGAAATACTTGCTAGAAGTAGCAGAAAAAAGTTATCTATTGTCATTCACTGCACTGGTATTACAATTAAATGTAAAGTATTTTAAAGAATTATATACCAAGAAGCCCAAGAGCAGCAAGTCATAATGATAAGATGGGGGTTTTCTTAGATTGAACTCCTTCTGCTGAGCAAGTTGTGATGCAACACTATGATCAAAGTAGTAAAGCACAGCAATCATAGTTGCTGGAATAAATGCTCCAACAATATACAAAGGGGGCACATTCAACATTTCCTGCAAAACGTAACCAAAAAGAGCAATGAGCCATGCTTGCTTTGCTGGGGGCAAAGCAAGAATATAGCCTCTTATATAGAGACATCATCCACTATGGACTATGAGAATAATATGCACATTGTATAATCAGAATCACCTTGACAACAGTCCAATTTGAGTATGCACCAGGAGACCATGGGTTTGGACTAAAAAGTCTCCTAGGGATTCCCCTTGGAACCTCATTGACTGGTATGTAAGACACACCAGTCCATATGAGAACCATTAATGGGACTCCATAATCAGTTATAAATCCCCGTAGCCAACCTATAATATAACCATATTTTAGAAGGAAAATCTTGACAAGACAAATTATTTTACTGCAAAAATAAATCAGAAGAAGTGAAAAATTCATTAAGGCAATATTTGATTAATGGGGAAAAAAGGAAACAGACTGCAGAATTAACACTTGAGACATAAAGTAGGAACTTGCGGTCAATCCTGTAATGTAACTTCAATTCCCCACTGAATTTTCAGATCATAGTTCGGAAGCATAATGAATACCTGTCCCGTAACGCCAGGATCTAGCTTTGCGGCTTTGTAGACCAGTAAAAAGAAGACCAAATGACAAAACCAAAGCAAACATTCCATTGCCAAACAGCCAAGATGATTGGAGTGCAATCTGATTGGTGCCTTCTCTCTGGTTCTTGGGAGCACCAAACTCTTCTACAAGTCCCTATAAAATAGAAAGCATCAAACATAAGTTTCATTTCAAGCAATTGTGAATGGAAGGTTCCTATTTAGGAACCACATATACAATTTGCACATTGCTAAATGGTTCATGGATGATGCATACTCACCTTTATAGCCTGCTGCATAAAGAGCATTGCAATTAGCAGACCAAATAATTCACCAGCAAGGCGTGTGAATCTATTGATAATGGAGCAGGCACCAAGAATAGCCAGCAAGAAGAGCAACAAGGCAGTCCAAACACACACCCTATATTCATAAAAATAAATAAATAAATTATTAAGAAGTTAGTTCAATTTCACCAGTTATTCCCTAAAATAGTAAAGCACTCAAGAAGCTCCAAAGATAGTGATACCATCCAGTCCAAGGTAGGAATAGTTTGTGTCCCAAATCCTTGCGATCTTTAGCAAAGTTATACATGAATGTATACATCAGAACTGTCGGCTCGGCCACGCCGAGTATGAGGAGAGGCTGCCCTCCAATGATTGAGTGGATGATACCGCAGAGTGCTGTTGATGCAAGAGTCTGCACAGCAGTGAGACTTCCATCTGTATAATATAACCAAAGAAACATGTTTTAGCAAACAATGAGTAAAACATCAAAAGGAGACTAAACCTGAAAAATGTTCCTGTACCAGTATTTCTCTCCAGTTGCTCCCCAAAAGAAATAACAGGAATTGCAGAAGCAAAAAATATGTATGTAGTTGGGGCAAGGATCCTATATAAGACAACATAAACATTAAATCATTGACAAACTTCCTTGCTGCTGTTTTAAAAGGAAAACTTTAACTTTACATGCAAGAGGTATGATCAAGTTTGGTTGAAAAGTAAATGCAACAAGTCATAGTATAACTGTAATATCAAAATCAGCAAATTTATAGCACAAACCTGATTCCTGCTTGGAATCCACTGGTCCAATCTTGTCTGTAGCAAGTAATTCTTGCTTTGAGGTCATTCTTAATCCCACGGAAGGGAACAAATGTTTCTTCCATGAAAGCCTTGGAATACCAAGGAACTGATATTGATCTTAAATTTTGTTTAATAGGGTAAAAGATAGAAACAAGAAAAAGAAAATCATGTACTTGGAAGGAGCTCTAGAGGTTTACATAGTGATTAAAGTTGCATAAGTGAAGATATCAATATAACTCTGGGCAGGGATACCAGAATCCTACATAATATCAGCCTAAACAGGAAAGCTGGAAGAAGGTATGCTCATTTTTTGATTGTTAAATTGAATAAATGAATCAAGTTGAAGAATTTACATTTGAAATAATTTATGAACAACTTTGGATGTATTGTTATGAGTAACAAAAGAACAAGTCAGTAATTGGACAAAAAGGAATTGGATTACATATCCAAGAGAAACTCAAAGAATATTAGAAATTTTATGCTATAGTCAACACTAGACAAGAAGAGTAGACACTCTCCACAAAGCTGAAAACTAGCGTTCAGCCATGACAAAGCCTAGATCCAAATTAAACCACCCCTTTCTCTACTTTACCCTCCATATGCTATCCATAGAGACCAAAATTATTCCAAAAACAACAAGTAGAAGCAGATTGGTAGCATTCAGTTACATGGTACAGTTAATACACTCAAACTAAGGTTAATCAAATTTCAGTTTTTGAGGTATAGATATGGAGGGCAATCCAACACAACTAACGAAAACCCATCTTCACAACCTGCATTTGCTACAATTTAGAAGCACTGAGAAGAATGTTCATCAACAGAACACAAAAGTCAAAGATGAGGCAGTTAGACCCAGATGGGAATCTGACATAGATTAACGAGATTCCATGACTGAGACCACAATGGAAAAGGTTCAGAAGACTTTTGAAGATTTGGGCATTGATTGAAAAGAAAAAGGGTACCTTAATCTGAAATCAAATTTACATTTTCTGCAAGGAGACTTAAAAAAGGAACAAGAGCAGATTGCAGCAAACCAAAGAAGGAAGAGTAAGAGATTGCAGTTACATTTAATTACTGGGATACACAAACAGTGGAAACTGGAAAATATCGAAGACAAGAATGAAAGTAACACAAGCAAAAACAGAAGAAGAAACGAATTCGGAGAGCAGGAAAACAAGACAAATCTCTTAGAAGAACAAACACACGGTGCTGTGAAAGGATTTTTGTGTGACAGTGCTGTTATGCTGAGAGCAATAGTTTGTTTATTTATATAAAAATGTTTGAAATGGACATGAAAAATTGAAAGAGAAGAGGTAGTGGTAAGGTTGTACAACTACAACGAACTTAGTGGTAAATTATAGTGTGACATGAGAATGAGATAGACACAGACAAAACAGTAAAACAAACATAATTAAGACACCGATGAACAAGTTGTTTAGTACTTTCGGTAAACCGTTTAGGAAAATGATAGTTGCGTGTTAAATATATTTTTATTTAGAGACGTTCAGAAATGATTTTGTGTTATCATTTCAACCCCATAATTTGTATTGTTTTGTAGTTTGTGGAAAAGTATCTCATGACCTGCGCAGAAAGTAGGGATGCCAAAACGGGCCAGCCCAGCCCGTTTTGGCCCGCTAAAAACGGGGCAGGCCGGGCCAGCTCGCCAATGTAAAACGGGCTGGAGATGCTGGCCCGTCCCGCCTAAGATCGGGCTGGCGGGCTGGCAGGCTGGCCTCATTTGAACAAAATTCCTCTTCCTGGAGTCCTTTTTAAATATTGGACAATTCTATGGGCAGCTTGTAAATGTGCTTCCTTTGGTTGGTGCATAAATTGGTTGACTAGGCTCACAACAAAGGCAATATATAGCCTAGTGTGAGATAGGTAAATGAGTTTGCCCACAAGTCTTTGATACATTTTGTTATCCACATCAACATCCTCCTCCGCACTTCCCAATGTTATATTTGGGTCAACTAGTGTACTTATTGGTTTGCTGGTTTTCTTACCTATTTCCTGAAGCAAGTTAGTAATGTATTTTTGTTGAGATATGAAGACCCCTTTCTTGGAATGGACCACTTCAATCCCCGAAAAATATTTTAGCTTCCCTAAGGTCTTGATTTTGAATTCCTTGGCATGGCATTGACTCAACTGTTGTTGTTCCTTTTTATCATTCCTAGTGACAATGATATCATCCACATAGACCAATAATACTGTTACTCCCCTTGAATCAAAATGCTCGATATATAAAGTCTGATCTCCTTGGCTCTATTTGTATCTAAGGCTTGTCATGATTTTGGTAAATCTCCCAAACCACGCTTTAGGTGATTGTTTCAACCCATTTAATGCCTTTTTTAGCATGCAAACTGTGTTGGCTTCACTCTACCCTGTATACCCAGGTGGTATATCCATGTATATTTCTTCTCCCAGATCCCCATGTAAGAATGCATTTTTTACATCAAATTGTTGCAAGTCCCAATTGTGGTTTGCTGCCAATGAAAAAATTACCCTGACCGTGTTCATTTTGGCAATTGGTGCAAAAGTCTCCAAGTAATCCACTCCATATGTTTGAATGAACCCTTTGGCCACCAACCTCGCTTTATACCTCTCAATAGTCCCATCAGCTTCGTACGTCAACGTATAAACCCACTTGCACCCAACAGGTTTTTTTTTCCAAGTGGTAGGGTCACTAGGCCCCAAGTATTTTTTTTTTCCAATGCCTGCATCTCCAAGTCCATGGCTTGTTTGCATTTTTTGTCGGTTAATGCCTCAGATACAAAGGAGGGTGTAGTTGTGGTGTTTAGGCTTGTGAGAAAGGTTTTATGGGTAGGTGAGAATTTTTCAAAGGATAAATAATTTGTCAAGGGGTAAGGTTGTTGTTTGGTGCAGTTTCTGGTTCCTTTTGTAAGGGCAATTGGGAGGTCTAAGTTATGGTTCACCTGTGCACCTGATTTTTTAGAAGGAAATTCATCACAATCAGCAGAATTAGAATTTATAGGATCAAAAGGATTTACCTCATGTAATGATGTAGGGTTGGGTTCTTGGACATGAGCAGATCTTGGAATGGCCTTTTCTCTTCATGTGTACACTGATTTTTTCCAAATTTTGTATCATTGTGTGGCCCAATTGCTGGTCTTGCACCAGCTACTGGTTCTACTAGTGCAGGGATTTGATTCTCCTCTACTTGTTCCTCTTTAGCCTCAACTTCACAAATAGTGGTAATATTTTTTTTCAGTTTCTGGTTCAACAGTAGCTTTTCCAATTTTTGGTCCAAAGGATAGATTTGGTAGTATGAGGGGCTAATCTTCCTCTCTTAAATTCTCCCCCTGAAGATGAGGTTGGTTAAAGTAGCTCACTCATTCATTGAAAGTAACATACCTTGACACAGAATTTTTGGGAAGGAGGATGAAAAAACATATATCCTTTTTGTGTGGCTGAGTATACCAAGAAAACACACTTTACTGCCCTTGGGTCAAGTTTTCCCCTTCCATTACTGTGAACATTATATATATATATATATATAAATTAATGAGAGCAATTTTAAGAATTGATTCTTTAAGAAGACATTTGCAAAAAATTTCTTTAAATTTTTCTTCCATCAATTTATTTTTTATCAATAAATTCAATTTTAATATTTTTTAAATAAATTTAAAATAATTGTATATATCACAGTATAAATTACTCATTATAAATTTAAAATATAATTTATATGTTTAAATTTTTTTATATAAATCTCATTATAATATAATTTAGATATTTAAAAGTATTTATTCTTTATAAATTTTAGTTATATAAAATAAATATTTATTTTGTATGTTGTCTAACCTAAAATACTAGTTTAGTTATAAATTCTTTAAAAAAAATAACAGAAAAAGTCTTTAAAAAAGAATTTCAAAATAATATTTTGCTAGTATTTAAAAAATATTATGAATATTTCTAAAAGGTAAGTATTTTTTATATAATTAAATGTTAAGCAAAAATAAAAAGAACTGCATAATAATATATATTATGTCAAAATTATAATCAGTTTTTAGTTTTATTTCTATTTTTTATTTTTAAAATAACCCATTTCAAAAAGTATTCTAATAAAAATAGTTTAAGGGTATGTTCGTGTAATGACAACAATATTAATAATAATGGTGTCAATAATAACAGGGGTGATAATGATATTGTATTAATAGTCACAATGAAAATCTAGGTAGTAGTGATAATGTAAGTAACAATAATAATAAAGATGATGATTCTATTAATGATGGCAACATAGTGATTATGATATCAATAATGGTTGTAGTGATAATGTTAATGGTAATAGTGGTGATAACAATGGTGACATTGTCAATGTTCAAGGATATATCTATTGTATAATGTGTGGGAGTAGCCGCCCATACTACTTTTTTAATTTGTTTATACATATATGAGTAGATAAATCCAAAAGTATATCTAGGTAGACTTATTTCACTTAATAATTCATGTTTTACATAAAATATCAACAATCTAATCGTTGAATTAAGTTCTTAATGCATAGATTAAGTTTGTAAATTTTAAAAAAAATCAAGTTACATGATACTTCTTTATATGAATTCAAATTAACATGTAAAATATTTTTAATGATTATTGAATCAATAACACAAAAACTTTTGGATGACTTACTTTACTTATTCAAAAATTTGTAAAATTAACCTATGCATTAAAAGCTTTTAATTTAATAGTTAAATTATTAAAATTTAATGTAAAATATGAGTTATTATAATAATATGAATTTTATTATAGTTTATTAATTTTATTAAGTAACTGATTTATATGATTTGTTGTTTTAATATTTTAAAACTCTGAAGATTAAGAAATTTTTATAAATTTAGTTGATTAAGAATTGTAGTGAATTGAGGTCATTATTGGCCATGTTTAAGAGAAGACATATAAGATTTTATTAAGACTTGATTTTCATAAGTTCATTTCTATTTTTTTTAAGAAATTTAGAGAGAACTTAAAGAATAGGCCTTGAAGTCAAAGGAAACCATTCTTCCTTCTAACTTCACGGGTTGCCTCTAATCCTTCCACGAACCATCTTTAGTAGGAGTTGAGTTGAGATTTGTAGCTAAGGAGTTAAGAATCAGAGGAAGAAGTCATCGTACGAAAGTTTGGTGTTTCCAAAGTTTTTTTCCCTTTCTTCTTCTTCTATGGAAGATTCGAGATAAGGGAAGCTTGTAGATTTGATTTTGTTGTGTTGTATGTATGGATTATTGCTTGAACTCATCAAATTGTAGTCATGTTGTTAAATTGAATAGCAAAGATCCTGATTGTTGGGGTTTTTGGTTGTTAGAGAAGAAAATTGGTGAATTGTAAAAGTTGGTGGCTGCATGTGGTTGATTCAAATCGCAATTCTTCCAATTGCATAAATTTTTTTCACATTAAGTGCAACTTCATGGAATTGGGTGTGATGCAAGTTAGAGGCTCTCTGTCTTGTTGGCGTTGGGCATTGGGAGCTTCTTAGGGGCTCTTTGACTTGGTTACATTGGGGTGGGTTGAGGGTCTTTGGGCATGATTGACTTAGGAATTCTTTGACTTGGTGTTGCTAAGCACAAGATGAATGGTGTCAAGCATGACCAAGTCAAAGGCTTTATACCTTAACAACGCCAAGCGCAAGTTGTGTAGTGTTGGGTGTGTGTAAGGTAGAGGCTCTCTGCCTTGGCAACGTTGGACGCAGGATTGGTAGCGTTAAGTGTGGTTTACACAAAGACTCAATGTTTCATTGACATCAAGCATATGAGGATTGACTTCGAGCATGAGTGATCTAAAGGCTTTCTACATCATTAATGTCATGCGTGGGGAAGTGACATCAGGTGCAAGGAAGTAGTGCCAAGCGTGGACACCAAGCGCAGGTTGATCTCATTAGGCATGAGTGTGTTTAATGTATATGTACCCACTACAAAAAATATGCAATTTAGCGACCACCAAAATCGGTCGCTAAATTGCAAAAATCGGTTGCTATTTACCTTAGCGACTGAATTAGCAACTGAATTTAATCAGTTGCTAAAACCCTGGTCGCTAAGCTATTTAGCGACTGAAAAATTTTCGGTCGCTATTTAGCGACCGAAATTTTTGGTCGCTAATTCGGTCGCTAAATAGCGACCGAAAATTTCGGTCGCTAAATGGTTGAGATGATTTTGGTCGCTGAAGTATATGGGACCAAATTAGTGACCGAATAAATCGGTCGCTAAATATTTATTTTTTATTTTATTAAATTTTATAGATGTCACAAATTTGGTCTCTATGAACCACTCATATTTGGCCTCTTAAGGATTTTATTTCACAATAGTTAAGTTTGTAGCATGTTATGTCCTTAATTACACAATTT